ATGATTTCTATAAGGAGCTACAGATTAATGGCTAACCGCTAAGACCACCCGATTAATCTTCCTGTTCGCTACGTGCGACTGCAATATTCCTGCGAACGGAATTTAGATAAGATGGCGTCTGCGAGGTTTATAAAAATTCATATATTTATTTGAGCAATTTTTTTTTTTTACTACTTTTCATTTCAAAGAACGAATCATAATCGTGAATTGGTAAAATGTCAAAAAGAAAATATGTCGACTAAGAAACTTGTATTGGAAAGTAAAAGTGCGATGGTTTAATGAGCGCGCGAATGACGCGTCTCTTTCGTTTCTTAGCAAATATACGTCAGACCTCACGTATCGAGTTTACGTAGAAATGGGTGTAGCTGGATTCATTCAAGAACAGCTTGGGAATTTTCGAGGTCATCGATGCCATGACCTGCCTCAAGAGTTCGCGAAAGCATTTCCATAAAATCCAGACAGGCTGGTTTAATTTATGCATAGGGGCGTATCGTGTACGAGACATAATATGGGAACGTAAGGTTGATATTTTTTTTAATGACATTTAGAGACATTAAAAAAGTCTGTTACCTTAAAAAAATATGTATATTATATGAGCCTATCGCCCTGAGGAATTACGTAAAAATGCTAATTGCCATTAAAAAAAAATGCTGACGTCTATTTGATGAAAATTCAAGTGAGACCAAAAAAGATAGAGAACGACAAGTATAAAGAAAGTAGACCACAGACTAAAGTAATTTGTAAAAAGAAGCGATCAAGAGAAACTTAACCCAAGTGAGGTAATAAAGGAAGCTGGAGAGAAAGAAAGCGCTTGCCGTAACGCAGAGAGTTTGTTGCGCGCGACTAATTTAATTCTGTTGTCGCCACCTGTTTGCTGTTCTTCCGTTCCCCACCAGAGGCGCCACCGGAGCGTTGAAGTTCATGGCCGGCAGTCCGTTGTTGATACACTTTACCGAGTTAAATGAATCGGTCAGCAAGTAGCGTCGGTGTGTAAAATAGCTCGTTGGTAGTTTGTAAAGCATAGTTAACGGCACTTTGTTTGAGAAGCGAGCACTTACGTAGTAATATATCAAGACCGGCTGCCCGACTAAAGGGCCCTCCGTCCCTCGGCTAGGCTCGGCGAGTCTCGGTCGGCTTCGAGTTTTCCGTAACGAAATCGTTGCCATGGCTCCGGAGCCCACGTAGCCCCCTGACGTTCGTTCCGACAACTAAATTAAACTTCGAGCCAGACAAACTGCGCGGTGAAGATTCTCGGTCATAAATAAACGAGTTTGCCCGATTCGATACCGAAATCGGTAATGCGCTTTATCGCGCCATAAATCGCTCCGTGGATCTAAACCTCGCGAGTTGCGAGTTGCGGTACAGGAGAGATGGAGGCTGTTCGCATTGCCTGGCCATGATTACGCGTGACCGCCAATAAATAATCGTCCCGGCTACTATCGATCGTCTTTTACATGTGGCGCGTATATAACGACCGTGACCGTGAGATGTGTCGCAAATGGAAATAATTATGACGCACAATTCCACCGCAGTCGTTAATCGTCTTTTCCTATATACTATACATATATACATTTCCAGTGTTGTCTTTAACGATCCTCGCGGCTTCTCACAAACGGCGTTTATGTATGTTCTCATCATAAATAAATTCACTTAGATATTCATTATATACTTTACACGTATATACGTACATATACTGTATCTATATATCGCTACACCCGAAGCTTATAACTACCGAGTGATTTCTTATCACGTCTATCAGTTTCCAATACCTAACCTCTGTTTCACCGGATCGTGAACTTTCGGCTGAGGGAATAACAGTCGTTTTCGTTCCGGAGGTCGTAACTTCCGCAACGATCAGTTTCTCCCAACGGTATACAAGAAGAAGAAGAAGAAGAAAAAGAAGAAGTAATAGTGGGAGTAGTGGACCCTGATGGAGGAAGAGGAAGAATAAGAGGATCACGGGGTAAGGGGTTCAGGGGGGGAGGGGAGAGAAGGGACCAGGAGAAATAGTCCACGAATAAAAAGACGAGTGTACCGCGTACATCGGAAATATAATGGGATCGCATTATAAATAATGAATAGCGTAAACTATAATGAAATGATTTATTGCTTCTATTCTGTAGGAGCTGACAATGGCTTCTTTTTGGCCAGGAGCGGTTGTGCTCTGCCGTGCCGAGCTTCGCCGTGCAATAAATCTGTCCAGATGGTGCGCCCTGGTACCCCGGCACGACGTGATGCTCCAGGCAGCGAAACTCGCCAGCCTGCTACGTCAGAGTACTGACCAATCCTGACCAGCACTGACCGCTCCTCAAGGTGGGCTTCGTTGAGGAAGGTTGCGTAGCTTCACCTTGTCTCACTCCGCCTAGGCTGATCTCGTCGCGCTTCATCAAACCAGACCCAACTCTTCGCTTTGGCTAACCCTGCATTGATCTTCGCTACGTGTGTACATATATATACCTTCTACAGTAAGATCAGAGGATCATTATTAGATGATCTACGACGCAAGCCGAATCTTGAAATTTTATATAATTATACAAAGGTCGAAGGGTCCTTTTATATATCAAAATTTGACACGCGGTATCCTTATAATTGGCACGTTGCAGGAATTACCGTATACTGTACTATACACGATACCCTTGCGATAGGACTATTACCGTAATCTAGAATCGCTCAGCCACGACCGGTACGGACGACTGCAAACCTACCAGTCAGCCGCCATTTATCGATTTACATTTGTTACAAGGATAACGCACCGAACGCCAGATACCTCGTAGAAGGTTGATTTCGACCCTGTCGAATATATTCGCTCGTCCCGGTCTAATTACGACGGGGCCACGTTTCGTCCTCGGTCGAACAAGATACGATTTTGCTTGGGACTGAGAGAAATCGATTTTTCTCCACGTCATTCGTATCGGTGGAAATTAATGATAATTGATAAATTTACCTTTTTTTTTTTCGTTCACTATGTACGGCAGTGACTGACAATTATCAATTAACCGTGTCATTATTATAATGCACTAATGGCATAACAGTGTCACTGAATTATGACTCTCCTTAGGCTGTTACTAGGTTTCTTGCATACAGAGATATGTAATGGGCACTTCGTTACGGTAATTCTGTAACTAAGACGGGTTTTATAATTGTAATCGATTACAGTCGTTATGACACATGGAATTCAGTTAGGATATTGTTTTGTCTGCTTCGAGTGTACCGAATCGCCCGTAAGGAGTCTTCTGTGCCATAATAATGTTACGTTTCGAAACGAGAGCAAATAACAGACGACGCAAGTCCCTGCGTTATATTTGTATTTCCAACCGAACGATAGACACAACAAACGCTCGAGCTGCTGCGAGGGTGACCGAGTACTGGAAATTGTAATTGAAAAATTTGTCGCGAGAGGCAGCACTGGCGGCTGTAGTTGCCGAGTGGGGGGACTGTCTGGCGTTACGAGGGACTCGAGCGGCTTATTCTCATTCCTCTGCAGACCTTCTTCGGTCTTGGGCGCGTGCGTACTGGCCCTTCCACTTAGTTATTTGGCTCTGTCACTCTTTCCCTCACTTTCATTGCCACTCTTAACAACTTTTCCTACTTTCGCGGAGCTGTAACTTCGCTATGACGTTACTTCGATGTCACTGTTCATTCCGTAGCAAATACGCCAAGACGGTTTGAGTGGTAGGGAGTCTCTCGGGTAGCGTCCCTTGCTACTCTCCCTAGGGGAGCGGTCGAGTCAGCTCGCGTTTGCTTGTGCTACTCCAATTGGATTACGGGTGCATTTGCAGTCACCTGATAACTCCTGATCACCCTCTGTTCGAAACATTTTGCTCCGGGATCGACGGTTAACCCGGGTTCACTTTCGGTAACAAGGTGGTTCCTTAAGTTTAACCTGCTTCTAGTTTCGGCTCGTTGTGGGCAGTGATGAAGGTCGTAAGGGTAATTTATGATCTCTTAGGCATTTACCGACTTTGGCTGGTCGCCTGCTCCTGCGGTCTTTAGTTCCGGTCGACTCGACTAGGGGCCGTCGCTATTTCTTATAGTCTGACTTGTCTTCCTGCGGTATGAGTCTGCGACGGAAGCGAACAGCCTAGTTCGGACGGGATCTCAGGAGTTTCAATTTTTTCTCGATCAACAAAAACTGTCTCTAGTTCGACCGTACAGAGGTGATGGTACCTCTTGTAGGAACTTCCGGAACTAAGCTACCCCTATTTCACGGCACGTTTTCATAAAAACTTCAAGCACTTGGACACGTAATTTTTTAAAGCTATTTCACTTTGCATCTATATACTACCAAAGGATAAAATACCTTTTAGGTTACAAACCGACAGAATTGCAACGTTAACATCAAATAGATCCAATTTATCCTGCGTCATGATTATTTTCGTATATAAAGAGTTGCATGTGTGAAAGACCACGTGGTTAAATTCGCAAACTCGCACATACACACCACTGATCTCATAGAGAGGAAATCGAAAGGAGAGTCCGACGTTTCTGTCGTTACTTCGTCGATTCAATTTCCGGTTGATTAAATGGAGAAAGTTTCGCTCAATTTTCAGTGGCTAGAAAATATTCTTCAAGAGGGAAAGTTTCGTCAGGTCGCCTTACGAGAATCAAAAGTATATAATAACAATATTACTAATTATAGCCCAGCAGTCTCACGAGCTCTCGTATATAAATTAGAACGGAATAATTTAATTATTCAAATTTGCATTAGCCTCGGCGAGAATCTCTCGCCTTTCCGACCGGAAGTCGTGGTACCGCGTCACATCCAATTGCGGTAAAGGTTCCGGGCGCATAATTTGAATGCTCCTTTGCCTCGCATCGACCAAAGCGTACAAGATCCACTTTGCGATGATTTTGAGCCGATTAAAATTTCGACATCCAAAAAAAAAAAGCGTCACCGTACGTGAAAGATTTTTGAATAAAATCGAAATGACGTCGTAAAATCGACGAAACGTCGATAATTAATAATTAATTTAATATCAACCTAAATATTATCTACTTACAAGTGGGCCTTGTCCTGTTGGGCCTGGTCAAAGGAATCCACGGTCTTTGAGGTGGATGATTTGCCGTGACTAGAAGAAAAAGAAAAAAAAAAGTTATAAATTCACAATAAAAAAATGTCATTCGATCATACGGAATATCCAATAATAATTGAATTCTTAGAAACTGTTATAACAGTACAAAGTGATCACCCGTTATACCGTACATTGACGTGTATCACGTTAAACAGCATCGATGCATCTAAACCTGTCTCTCTGTATAATTTTATCTTAACGAACACGTTAACCCAGGTTGGATGCTGCCAATCGCACAAGAACACTGTATTCGCTCAGATCCGACTGTTAATTATTTCAGGACGAGCGAGTTAATTGCCGAGACAGACAAGACTGTTGCGCAACGAGTTCGTCCTCTGCGTCTACCTTAGATTTTATACGCGCTTAATGGCCGCGTCGCTACAGCCTCCTCTCGTCTTTCCTTTACGGCCGAACAATACCAGAATCTCCTACTCGGAGACGGCACGCTCTACCCCCACGTTCTAATAAATTTACATTAATATACATTCCGATCGGGCATGCTAGAAATTTACATAAATCCAAAGGGTGTTTCGGCTGGGTATACGACCTGCCGTGAATCATCCTACGAAATCTGTATTGGTCCAGGACCAACTAGGTTATCACAGACCCAGCCCGAAATTAACACGGAGGCGTATGGAAATACCTAAAATTGTCCACCAAATATAAATACCGTATATGGGATAAATGTAAAAAAAAAACAGTTATCAAAATCGATTATAGAGAGAAAAAAGTACTTCGATCCAAAATACACACTCTTGCTAACCGAGTCTATCGGGATTTGAAAAAGGAATCCAGAGCGAAGGAAGATCGGAGTATGCCATGGAATTATCAATTCACGAGTTTGCCGGATTAAAAATGTAGAAGCGGTTCCACGGGAGATACTCTCCTAACCCCCTCGAGCTGTGGTCTCAGGACTCTGGGTACGTACTGCTCGTACCACCCAGTATAACCGGGGTTTGGGTTTTCCCGACCAGAACTTCCGGAACTCTCGTATCTACATGGAGTGCCTGATGGTTATATCGGTTAAGGGCTTAGGAAAGCTCTTATCGTCCTGGCAACCCATATTCCTAGAAGGCCCTTACGTACTACTGTACCAATGACTGTAAGCTCGCATCAACTTACAGAAGGGTTCTGGAGGTTAGGTCTGCTGTTCATTCGTAAATTACTGCCGGCGAATGGCAAGAACGTCGAAAATCCACAAGGCAGATCTCATAGGGCAATACAATGTTCATTCGCTACGTGAACGGGATGCCTGGGTATTGCGATACGCGAATGCCATTAATGGAATCAATGTGGTTACCCCTGGTAGAGCTCTTGCGAATTACTAGGAAATTTCGAAAATGACGGAGTTACCCTCTTGGCGAATTTTTGGTAATCGGACACGCAGACCGAATAATGGATCTAAGTATGTAAGAAATTTTTTTTTCAAGATGGTTCAAATTTTTGAAATTTTTACACGCTCGATACCAAGGACGTATTTCTACTTGTAATTAATAACCTCAAGAATGGGTTTGCGTCGAGGAGGATTTATCAACGTTGATGTTGATATACGATTTTAATAGAAGTAACAGTCTAACAATTTAGTAAATCGGTGTCGTGTTGAATAATGAGTTTTTGAGGTATCCGATAGTGGGCAAAGTCGATTATACTTAAAGTCCCGCTCTGCCGCGGATATAACGAGGGCTGAAAAATCGGAAAAGTTAGGAGCGACTGGCGCTAACGACTTTTCGCAAATGGGAGTAACATCTCCGAAGCCCGAAATGTGATTCGACTCTGCCATAAATGGCAGGACATTAGGTGAAAGGTGGGTAGGTTAAAGTACCTAGATGTTGAATGGCAAAGGGACGGCGGGGGGGTTGCGCTTAGGAATGAGAAGGGTAGGTGGGGTCGCGAGGGTAATCAGAATTAACAATTCAGAGTTGAAGGTGGGAAGGAAGTGAACGGTATGACGTAAGAGCTAAGGCTGGAGATGGGGGATGAAGGAGCTAGTTTCTTCTGGGGGAAAAATCAGTATGAGCTAAGGGTAGGTTGGCAACGTGTATTATACTAGGAATTTCAAAAATTTTTTCTCAACCACCCTTCAGTGTCCTGTGAGTCGGGTTTTAAATGAAATATTCGTGAACTTTGGGGGGAGGTGAATTTTCATTTATTTTTAGAAATGACCTTTGACCCTCTGGCTCAATAAAATTTTAGGCTTTTTATTTCTAACGGTGCGCCAATGGATGTTAAAAAATTCATCCCGTCGATGTACAACCCCTTTAAAAATTTCTTGTACTTTCTCCGGGTGCCGAGGGGGTGGACTGTTTGATATCGATTAATCGATCTTGAATAATTGACAATGGGTCAATTGAATTCACAAAAGCTTTTACATGTCTTTTAACCCGACCGGGATGAAACGTGCGGTTGATTATGCAAATAAAGTCCAAGTCAAGTTATCCCGGTAGACTTGGAAACCTCGTTTCACGGTCGTCTGGGGAATCCTTAGTAGTTTAATTTTTTTTTGACTTGACTTTTCGAAATTTTCCGTTTCAGGGAATTTTAACGCTCGTCTCGTTTTCCTTTGATTGCAGTGAATTTTATTGGACGACCTTGATCTTTCGACTTGGCTCAGGACGAATCGGTGACTCATCAATACATGTTGATTCTGGAATCTGATATGCATTTGCATAAGACTATCGATTAACAAGGCGTTGCCGGGGTCGGTATCGGAAACTCGAGCTTACGTAATACACAGTACACCCGTATACCGAAATGCCTAATCATTCATTAGAGATGTACAGGAGAGGCTAAACCAATTGATAGTAACTCTGTTTGGTATCGATAGCGCATTACTCTCGATCACTCGTTACAATGAGATGCAAGATACAGAGAAAAAATAAAATAGCGGTACCAATTAATTTTTACCCGAAAAGCACAATTTTTCTAATTACATAAATCCCCCCCACGAATCATACAAAATCGTGAATAAAACAAAAAAATATTTTGCCCTTAAAAAAATTACATCGCTTAAAAAAAAAGTAAAGGATTAAAGTAGGGTGAAAAAAATCCAGTCCAACCAAACTACCTGCCTCGTATTATACAGTAAAAAATGTTTCCCCTGTTAAGTCCTTTGCCACGTCCGAGGGTTCAAAAAAAAAAGTTTAATAACCCACCCTTATACTCTCCCCCGTTACTGTCAGTAATACCAAAAAAAAAATGTCAAAATTAAAATTTCAAACACCCTTAATCCATAACCCATGCCAATACCGAATCTGCTAATGTATTCATATGTGCAAAATTCTGTTGGCATGTACAGGTGAAATTGAAAATACATTTGGCAGATATTAACACGGATCCCGCATTAGAATGTCATTATCGAAGGTGTACGTAATGGCGATACACGGTGTTCCCACAGTAACAATGCATTCTCTGGTAATTATTGTAGCCTCGTAGCTCCGGGTATCGGATCACAGAAATGAATGCCCGGTGCAGTTCCACCACGTGGAGGATCTACCAGCTCGAGACTTGCAATAATTATCTTAGTCACGATACATACCTACCTACGTGGGTACTTGACTCTCTCTCTCTCTCTCTCTCTCTCTCTCTCTCTCTCTCTCTCTCTCTCTCTCTCTCTCTCTCTCTCTCTTTCTCTCCTTCTCTCTAGATCATCTCCTATCTTGAACTGCGTTCCTGACGTTGCAACATTTCAGTGACATCTCAAACCGCAGATAGCATCGTGCTGACTACGTTATTATAATTGCAAAGCGGTGGCTACCCTGGCATATACGTATATTACTACGAGCAGAACTCTTAGACACTCATTAAACAAGTTCATTATACTTGTTTCTTTTAATCATGTATATATATATATATATAAAGCAAGGTTATATACCCGTGTACAAGAAGCCCCAATAGTAAAATAATCGTTTCGTCGGAATCTCCGTGTCGCTACTAAATGCCATTGATGAGAATAATTTGAAGGGGATGATTAAATTTCAATTATTTTTCCCCTTTTTCATGAAAAGATTCTTCAAGCACTCGTCGCATTCACGAGGTCGTTCCAGAGAAGAATTTCGAATCTGAAGTTTTCCCTGCCGGGAAAACAATATTTGAATTATTGGAATGCAGCGGAGACAAGGGTTGGCCTTTGGAACGATCAGAGACACTTCGAGCCTCGGGCTCTTAAGAATTGGGCTCTATGTGAATTGGTCCTAAGGTAGGTCTTACGGGAGAGAGGACGGACCCCTGGGCTGTCGCGAAGTCTGAATTTTCTATCTGACACGAGAAGAGGATCCAAAGGGAATGGACCTGTGCGAGAGATGGAAATTTAGGCCTGATATATATTTTTCCTTCGCTCATCCCTTAAGAATCTTGACGTTTCTTCAATTTTTATCGCTCTTACGTCACCCTCCTTTTATGCTCTCTGCTTTCTCTGCTTTCACTGGAGCGATCCGCAAGGGGTGGGGGG